ATTAATAAACACATAATAAAAAAATAAATAAAAATAAGTGATTGAGAAGAAGTACAAGTTTTCCACATCTCAAATGCCCGAATTGCGCCAGGAAATATCAGTTTTGAGCGCATTAATCATACACGTAAAGGTTTGGTTCACACTATTACATAAAATATATTTTCTCACTCACCTCAATTGCTATCTATTGGTGCAGATGACTTTGGTTTAATTTGCTCCTGATTTTAGATATCTGTCCGTGACATTTCTGCCAGCGACCCAATACAAAGGTGGTGAATGTAATTTAGTTTGTGGTGCTCACAGCATAGAAAAATGATATTCAAAAATTCAACAGCAACATGTCTTTCCAGAAACAGCCATGCCGCTGCTCTGTATAATCCACAGAAAACGCTGACAACAGTTTTCATTGCAGCTACTTTCTACCACAGAAATGTTACCTATTAAAAGTTGTTTTGCAATGCAGTGGATTATTATAATGGATACTGGATATGTTCACCTTCATTGTCCCTTCTAAATATCAGGGTTGGATTTGTTGAACTGAAATTTTTTATAACCTGATCGGTCCATTTTGCATTTCACCCGTTGTTTTTTTAAACTGGTCCTAGCTTTGTCACTGCTTCCCCTTATTATTTAAGCTGAAAAGTCAAATGTAAACCCAAACAGTAGGGATAATGATCAAAAACGACTAAAATAGGACCCAGGTTGGAAAAAAAGGCATTTACTTCTAAGATACTTTGGATATTTTGGGATGATGTTACTAGTGCATTATATAATCTTTAATTGGCAAACCTTTGTGGTGTTGCCACTGTAACCTTGCCACATTTTTCTAATGCTGCAGATCCATTCTAATCTCTCCCTCCTGTTGTCTGCGTCAGTGTGAGAAGTTTTTCAGAGTCTTACTACTGCAGGGATAAAATTAGGCTTCACCAAGCACGGAGCATTATAAGATATCCTTGCATTGAAGAGACAGAGCCACAGAGCAGCTTTGTAAACTTTTATATATTTTTGATGGAGGAGGAGTTGTTTTTGGGAGAACTATCTTTACTTGAACATGTAGCCTACAGTAGAAGAGAAATGTATTCCTGCCATTTCCTCCCACCCTTCTAAATGAATGCTTTTATTAGTTGCAACTTTTATTAGTTGTAGAGTAGTTTTGATTTGGACTGTGCTATATTGTAAGGTGTTCCTGATAAATGGGATAACTAAAACCTCAACCTTTTTTGAACTTCCATTCCTAGGGTAAGATGGTGAAGGGAATGGGAGGAGCCATGGATTTGGTGGCTAGCGCTGGAACCAAGGTGGTGGTCACCATGGAGCACTCAGCTAAGGTGTGTATACATGTAATAGTATTTGGTTGTGTGTGAGTGTGTGAGACTATGTGCTTTTAGTAAATTTCTTCTAATCAACATTACCTTAACAAATGTACCCAAAAGAACTCCGTTTCTTAAGAAACCAGGTCAAATTAAATTGGCAATTTTCATGTCCCATCTTGGTTCCTTCACCAGTATACCCTGTATCTGCTTCCAGTGATAATGAGAGTGAGTGTTATGACTGATTAAGGATAATTCTGTTAATGGTTTGCTTAATTCCTCTTTACTAGAGAGAATCGGCTCATCCTGATGAGGTTTTGCACACAAACCACCTCCTGTCCCTTCGTCTTTGGCTAATTTGAAAAGTCTAGAATTGGAGTTGGTGTATTGGAAACAGCTGATTAGTCAGACTGGTGCTGCAGCTCGAGATGTATAAACCCACAGGGTTTCTGACAATAACAGTAGGCAATCCAACTGAATTGGTTTACTTTTGGAAAGTCCAGATCAATATGATGCAAGGGCAATGTAACATTCTGTATTCATAGAAGCATGCTGTTTTTTGCTAATGGGAGCCTGTCTGGCGCCCAGCTATAGTCCAGATGGTGCAGCAGGTGAGCATAAATTTAGTGCCCTGAAGCCTGTTTTCATTCTTGATGGGTAAGGGGTGGTGGGGGTATGTGATGTATGATGTGTGCTTGTCAGGCAGCGTCAGAGGCATTTGGACGTGTGCTTCTTCTTAAAGATGACTGGCGGGGAAACTAAGACACACCCACATGGATATGTGCTGTATATCCTTTGGGGATAAAATGAGTGTACATAACCAGCTGAGTCCCTGGATAAATTAAAATTTAAGCTGCATCTATGAAAATATTAACACACAGTTTGAAGTGACTGACAGGCTTCACTGACTGAACTGGGTGAACCACCTCCAGTTAAGTTTTCTTTAAACTAACTACCCTTTTTTTCTTTCAGGGAGGAAAACACAAGATATTGGACAAATGCAGCCTGCCTTTGACAGGAAAGCAATGTGTTGATCGGATCATCACAGAAAAGGTGTGTTTATCGGTTTCTTTTATATAATATATGGGTGTATATATGAATATGTCTTCATCATCCTAGATTTAAACAGAAATATATGGATGGACAGTGATAGGCATAGGCTGCTTATTTATAGGTGCTATACAGACGTTGCCAATGAGTAAGCTATAGCTGTGCAGTACTCCCCACCCCCCATGATTTGAGGAGAATGGGAGGATTTTGTTCAAGTAGTTTATTTACCTGCCTGTGATGTTGAACTGAATTCATCATCTTTGTTAGAAAGCAATGTTCTTGTAAAACATGAATATACAGGCACCCAGTTGTAGCCAAAATAAGTCTATTCGTACAGTAGACTGTAGTATAGGATCTTTGTAGGATTTGCTAAGTTTCCATCTTGTTTTTTAATCATGCAGTAATTGTGAATGTATTTGATAAATTATTGTAATACAATGCGTAAACCTGCAGTGCAGAACTTTTGTTTCCCCCTTCTGGTAGTGAGAGTAATGACACAAACATTGTTGATGCATGCTTATGACGTACGCCTGAGGTTTTTTCTTCCAAAGTCTCCGACATACTCCTAGTTGCTGTATCCTACTCCGTCGCTGCGGTTGCTCCCTCTTTTAGCTCTGGCAAACCACTAACTTTGTTTTTAGCTCAGGGTTGTTCACCTTGCAAAGTATTAACAATTTCCCACCTTCCAGTAAGGAGTGATTGACTGAAAGCAAAATGTAATAACTTTGCGTCTTTATCTCTCAATTACATTTCCCTCACACACGCACACATACGAAAACAATCACACTGCAACTGATATATTAGTATGTTGCAGCAGAGTGACACGGGTAGATGGAAATTACATTTATTCAATTAACACTAATTCAATCAGTTGATTTTCTGTAAGGAGGCTTATTGATTTTGTTATCTTTTTTATATTTTCATGGTTAGGGTTGAGTTTCCCTTTATTATGTATTTTGTTGATACTCCACCCCTGCCCTTCTCGTAATATTGCTCATTGCTCATGCAGTGATTGTAGTCGTAGCCAATCTGCAGCTTGTTTTCATATGTTGTGATTTTATGTAAAGCACTTTATGTTGCATATTATGAATGAATTGTTTGAATTGTCAAGAAGCTCCACTAACGCAGGCATGGAAGATCTTGTGTGTTGCATAAGAGTTGGGAAATGCCCATGGATTGGCAGGTGGGGATGCTGGTTCCCATTTTTTTTTTTTTCTTTTTTCTTTTTATAAAGTTGGACCACGGGATGTATTCTGGGAAATCCTACTGCTCAGTCTCCCTTGGAAAGCTTATGGAGCTTATCCTGAATGCAAATCTCTGTCGTCTTCATTTGTGCGTGAAGAGCTCCGTTTCTGCTGTGTTTTGAATTTCATCAGCTCCCCACAGTTTGAGTTCTGCGTGGTGTGATGGAAGACTGTGAAAGATTTGCTAACCTGTTGGATAATGTTATTGTACGTGGTAGCACATACGGTGAAGGTGGAAAAAGTCTGAGAAATAGTCCAGTCGTGGAGTAGAGTGAATATTATTTTATCACTCACATCCCTCTGAGATAGTAAATCCAGCAAAATGGGGTTTTTATTGACCGACTTGTCAGAATAGTGCGGGGGTGCACCCGGTAGGTCACCTGATAGAGTGGGTAGTGTATATCGAGGCTGAGTCCTTAATTCAGCAGCCCAGGTTTGATTCATCCTCTCTCTCTCTCTGTCCCCCTGCCTTCCCTGTCTCTCTCCAGCTGTCACTATCGGACTAAAGCACAAATGCCAAAAATTATCTTTAAAAAAAAAGGGGAAATAAGCAGACCATAAGCAAAAGCACAACGTTGGAAAAAGGTTTAACAAAAAAAAAAAAGCTGGTTTAAATTGATGCTGATGTAGTTTTTGTGTCGTCATGTACTCTGGTCAATTCCCTGTAATCCTCTGCAGGTTACTGCCTTTGGAACTCACTCATTGAAAACTTGACCAGTCAGGAGCAAAGTCAGACAGTTTGTCCATGGCTTTTTTTTTTTGCCCCTGTCTGTCCTTTTCTGCTCAGCCGGCTTTTGTTGTGATTGTGCAACATTTCTCAGCCAGCAAATTTCTGTCGATATTTATAAAGGTTAAAGCTCCTTTGTACTGCCTTGCTAACACTGGTCCCACCTTCCTCATTTTATCTCCTGCTGTTTTCTCTCCCTTTCTACCCATTAGTTCTCTTCTCCTCTTATTACATGCCCAGCTTTTTACTTTCTTTGTAATGACTTGAATTTCTACATTCTCTCATTTATGGCTTCTATTCTCATTTTCTTCCATCTCTATCAAGACACAATTTCCTCTTATTCATTTGTCTATCTTACTTCTTTTTTGACCTCCACATCCCTCCCCCTTCTGTTTTATTCTTCTGATAATATGTCTGTTGCGAATACAAGTGAATACATTTTAAAATATTTTCTGCTCTCCTTGTGGCCTTCCATCCACACCAAACAGGCATTGCCCATCTCTAAATGTTAACATTTTGAAAACTGTCTTCCTCTTCAATGCCAGCTTCTCTTTGCAGTTTGGACAGGGAAAACTAAGCTTTTCAAAAATCCTGACACATGACTGTCAGCCTGTCAGCCTTTAAGATATTGCCAAAATACTTATACTTGGCAACAAGGTTAAGAAGCCAACTTTCTGTTACCTCCAGCTCTTGCTGTGATTGCTTGTTTAGAAAATCAATATTCCGAGCAGCACAATAAAGGTGTTGTCATGTTGACATGTTTTTCTGTTTCTCTTGTCAAACAGCACAAGTATAGTATAGTGATTTGATGAGGGTGTCAGTGTAGCAGCTTCAGATTTACTGCTAGCTTGGTTAGCTGATAGCTTGCAAGACCGTCAATTAAATTGTGATCTTTAGTGCTGCTGTTGTCAGCAGACAACAGAAAAGGAACAGTGTGTCAATGACAACACCCATATTGCATATTCAGCTTTATTGAAAGACAAAATAAGAATCAGGAAGAAAACACAATGAAGATAAGCCGATATATCATGATATGTTTGCCAAAAGTGTCCTGAGATAACTTTTGTTATGGATTGGTGCTTATTAGCAAATAGTGGTTGCAATATTCCTGAAGGGATCCATCATCATTATCCACATCACTGATTAATTTTGACAAAGGTGAAAAAAAAATAACTGTTTAGGTTGTCTAAATCCACATCCATTAGTTCAGGTGATGTGGACATGGTTTCAGTCCTCACTGTATTTGCTGAGTCAATTTTCTCATCTCAAACACCTGTCCTGTATTTCCTCAGGCTTCCTTTCTTCCCTCTAATATTGTATCTGACTGAGGTGTACTAGTTCTGGCATCGGAAACTTAATAGGACTGCCAAAACACTTACTGTATGAGAAACACAAACTTGCTCAAATGATGTGAGACTTTGAGACAATGTAAGAACCCTCTAGACTTCAGGATACATTGAATGTGTATGTAATGTATTAGCTGATTGTTTAAGGTTGTCCAAAAAAACAACGTGCACACTATTATTACCCCCAGAGAGCCTTCAGTATATTGCTGTTACCGTGAACCACCTGCCCTTAATTAAATTCCTTCCTTAGTAATGAGTTAGATGAGAAGAGTTAATGTTGTTCACAGCATGTTCAGTGACAGGAGGCAGAGATGTAAAAGACTACAAAACATTTGCATTTCACCTCATTTTTGTCAGCAACAATCCAAGTGATTTGAGTTACTCCAAACTGGAGAGCATCGGACTCAACAAGTAATGAACCATACCTGTTGAATAATAACTTGGTTTGCCCAACATGGTGTTGATTTAGCTATCAGAAAACACATTTTTCCTTGTCATCGTCAAGGCCAGTATTACTATCAGTGCTTGTATTGTGTGTGTGTTTGTCTTTATGCTATGTGCACAAGCAAGCATGTGACAGGGAGTTTTGTATCCAGTTAGAAAAATGTAGGGATTAACACACGAGCAGGCTTGAAGATTTTACTCAACTATACACTTCAGTACGGTTTATGTAATGTTCTAAATACTTTTTCAGTGATGAAGAGCAAGGTGACACATGAAAAAAGCAGAGACCTTTAAAATGCCTTCAAACATGAACACTGAACAGCCAAGACACACAATGAGCCAGTTTAATGAGAGAAAATGATTTCCCCTCATATTGCCAGTGTGATTCAACTTGCCTATGACAGATTTTTAGAGTCCTTGTGGTATAATTTAACCAGTGATACATCTGAAAGTAGAACAGTCTGCTCTGCTACCATGTTTCTCTATGACAATAATGAAGAGACAAACAAGTATATGTGATTGTCTGTAAACATTGATCAATAAAAGCAATGATTTATAAGTCTACAAGGCTCCCTACAGAAACATTACCAGGACTTTTATCACATACAATTGTTAATAATCTCACACGACGTGGTTGTAAGATAAAACATTTATTAAAGATGTGGACACCAGTTAATAACACATTTTAAAGACATAATATGTAACATTGTGTTTCATTTTGTCGCCTCATGTCATATCTACTTTACCCCCTCTAAGCCCGCAAACAAGCTTGCTAGCCATGAACAGTACTTGTGGTTATTTTATATATAAATGTACTTGAATAAAGCTTTAAGACATTATTAAACATATGTCAGATAGATTTTCACCGGCAATAGTGCTTGTGCAAAAAATTTTGTCAAGGTCGGTCTTTAGTTATTGTTTGATTGAGAGGCCCCTTGTGGCATAGATCCCATACAGTGTGTTTACGACCTGGGACTATAAACATGGTGGCAAACAGTGTTTTTAATAACCCTGGTAATGGTTTTACTAAGTGTATTCTACTGTTTCCTATTGTTTCCAAAATGAGAGCGTGAACTCTGATCTTTCAAACCTGCCATAAATGCATTATTTTCCCTCCATACAGGCACATCCACAGATGCTGACATACAGAATATATTCTCGCACAACACATCATCCTCCTTGGCTCGTGATGGCCAGGAGGCATGGTAATTCAAATAGTGTGGCCCAAAATAGTGTTGCAATGATTTGAGACCCAGGGTGATGGGAAACCTGTTGCCTCAGGCAGTGTCTCTGCCGCTCCTCTATATGGTTGGACCATTTTATACTCTGTGGCCATTTCTTCTCTCTTAACCACAGCTCCCTTGTTTACAAGCTTTCACACTTGCAGCATTGTCTTATTTGTTGTTCACTTCCGTGGCCCCCGGCGCTTGAGTTGCTGCCATGACAGAGGTCTACATACTAAGCCTCCCAGTATTTTCTTCTCTCAACAGTTATTTGGGGAATTATTTAAATAAAAAAAATAATTGCACATTCATTCACAGATGAAGCAGAATGACTCCTGAATTATTTAATCATCATAATGGGCTCAGAAAAGTGTTACCTGTGGCATTTGCCATAATGACAGCAGTACCAATGACTGCAATAATTATTCCAGGAACCAAATTTAAATTCTTTTATGGTCCTACTGTGAGTTTTTGTCTGAACACGTCTCAAAATCTGCTCCTTGTAATTGCTGTAATGCACTGACAGAATACTGGGTACGCTTTTCAAGTTTATTTGTTGGAGGGTAAAATGTTAATCTTTTCTCCTGTCTACTTATTATATTCACATTTGTCTAAAGCACGAGTGGGCTGAGTGATGGTGGCTTATTGTTGTTACATGACATTCAGCCCACTTCTCGCCAGACAACACATTGGGGGTAGACTAGCAGCTTCTTAATGACTAACTTGCATCAATCTGGTTAATGACGGTGGTGACTTTGAAGACTGTGAAGAAAGGTGACTCAACAGTTTCACAACAAAAAGGCTGCTTTGCAATTGGAGGCACAGTTTGTTTTTGAGTAGTAAAGTGTGATATCAGAAACTAGCTCAATCAATAGTTAATTGCTTTAAAATGTGTATGCCCTGACCATTTTGTGTCAGGTTCTTGAGCAGTTTAGAGCAGAATACCTCAAACCGTGAGCTGACATTGACATTATATAACACCTGCCATATCTGCACACTGTTGTCGCACCTGTATCGACCAACTCTGGCACATTTTGACAATTTTTTAATTTTCCTTAATCACTAGCGACAAGTGTCACGATTAGGGATGCGTTTCAGTGTTATCCATAGACCCCTGTGACATTCCATCGGTCTTGCTATATTACAAGACATTGGAGTGAGATATCTGCCTCCTGCCTTGTCACTGTGCGTGCGTGCGTGCTTGCGTGCGTGCGTGCGTGGTCCTAATGAGCTGAGTGTCCTGACAGGCTTTTTCCTGGATGTGACTGTGCCTTAGCCTGTCAGTCCCTGCTGAGAGAAGCAACAGGAACTAGCTCAGCTCAGTGTGCCTGGCCTAACTTCATAAAGTATATGTGCATAAATAGGTATAATGATATTGCTCCAGATTCAGTTTTAAAGGATTATTGTATAAGGCCGGAGATATACTTGCTTTTAACTACTTTTAAGTGTTTGTGTACCCATGATGGATGTCTCGTGGATGACGTCCTTTATCTGTTGGTTGTGAACATCCCCAGAGATTAACGCTATGCGAGCGCATGGTTAAAAAGCAAGAATATCTCTGGCATAAGCTGTCATTTATGTACACCCTACTAACTTGCCATGTCAGGCGTGTGTTGAGAAGCAGCAGTCCGTTAACTCATAGTATAATATCCATGGTAATCTTAGGATAGCCAATTATCCAACTTATTGATGGAGAAAGGCTATAACTTGCAGTAGGTACTTGGGAATCACACTGGAACTGAAAGCAGGATTCCTGACTTGAAGTCGTGCTTATGCTGAAAATCTGCCCAGTCTTTAAGCAACCAATGATAATGTTGGAAACAACACAGTACCAAAAGAAAACAGTTCATGAACATTAATCACTAAATGTACATGAAACCAAGCAAGAAGAGAAACCAACACCAAAAAGTGTTTGAGGCTAGATGACACTTTGGACTGAATAAACTATATCACTCTGATGTTGTAAACACAGAAATGGCTCATAGAATGAAAATAATTATTTTTGGCTCATAAAAGAGGGCTTAAAGAGGTCATAACATGTCTGTTTCCAGAAGGTAGTCTGGAAGCAAGCATTAGTGTATCATATTGATTTTCTTTTTTGTTGCTAATTTTCAGCAGACGGAACATGAATTACTTTTCTTTAGATACATCTTAAGCATTTGTGGTACTTTGCCCTTCAGTGTAAATGACACTAACAGGATTCTCCATGGCAATTTCCAAAAAGGTTTCCACCTTCCTGTCTCTTCTACAGGACTGATGCCTTTAGCCATAGACAGCATTCGATTACTCTTAGAGATCTTGAAATCTCCAGGGGCCTCATTTATGACTCGTGCACACTCGGTTTTGTGCATAAACCGTGTGTAAGCTCATCTGTAAGTCCTAAATAAGATGTATGCACATCCCCTGGTTTGTAGTGTTGTATAAATATGATATTGGGTAAATCGATAAAAACCACAAGAAACTCATAATAATCATCATATTTTTAAAAAAAAGTATAACCTTTAAAAGTAGTGCAACAATTAAAATGTAATTGCTCACTACTTTGTAGTGGTCCTGAGAGTTGAGGACTGCTCTCAGAGGCCTTTCATGGATCTGTCACCAATGTAATTGCAGCTATTTTGTCATCTATGGATGATACTGAAGTGGTACTCTGCCCCCTGTCTGTGCCGCTGATGTTATTTTTTATTTTTTTGGTGGAGGTTGTCATCTCTTTTAGGTCACTTGAGCCCCCCCCACATCCTTGTCTGTGAACACGCATCAAAGGGTTCAAACCATTGACAGTTAAAAAAACCTATTAAGGAAATACTCATTCCCACCAGTTTGTCTTTGAATCTAATTGCCCACCCCGAACCCTCTGTCTCTCTAAACATCTTTTTTTTTCCCTTCCTCCCTCTCTTTCTGCCCTGTTTCTGTTTTCCAGGCTGTGTTTGATGTAGATAATACAAAAGGCCTGACTCTGATAGAAGTGTGGGAGGGGCTCACTCCTGAGGATATCAAGGCATGTACCGGCACAGATTTTGAAGTAAGTAACCTAACAGTTTGGCTACCAGTGCTTTATTTCATTTTCTAGTATCACAACAATGAGACATCTCTTTCCGCCTTGTGATCTGTCTGGTGTCTTCTAGGTGTCTCCCAACCTGACGGCCATGCAGCAGATCTAGAGGAGCTTGCAGTGGATCTGAGAAAAACTGTTACACAGCTGGTGATTTGGCAGCCTGAGACCGGTCAAATGGGCTTATAAAACACAAATGGTTGTTTAAGTTCCCTGGTAATCAGCATGCAAATATCAGAAGGATTTAGTCCTCACTAATAATAACTGAATGGGACTCACAGGAGCTAAAATGTATGGTTCTTTTTTGGGATCTGATGTGACATACGATTAGGAAACATTACATTGTTGCCTATTACAGCATTAAGTTATTCATTTTTACTAATGTTTGTGCAGCTATTTCCAAATGGATGATAATCAGAAACTGAAATTAAAAGCTGGGAATATATGATAATGACATGACAATATGATGTCTAAGAAAAAATGCAACTTTACTAGTACTATGAACAAAAATGATACAATAACTTGAATGTGAATCGTATAAACTGTAGATCAATAAGTGACTGTAATAGGATAGAAAGAGCTGAAATGTAATGAATTTAAAAAACAAATGTCTACTGTAGGTCAGCTGATTCTTTAATCAGCACATAAGGGAATATGTATGTAGTTGTGTTTTGCTCCATTTGGAAAATGAGGCGTATGTTTAAAAAAATAAGGGTCTAACTGGGACATGTTTGTAAGAATCCCCTCTGCCACAAAGTCAAACTGTCTTTTTTCTCATATACGTCAGAGTTGGTCTTATCATACATTTCAGCCCATAAACGTTAAGCCTTAACATTTTTACTCAAACCTTTGCTGTCCCTTTGCCTTTGTATATAAAATAAAATACAACCTTGTGTGCGGAGTGGAACAAGTGGAATGTCTTTTCTCTAAATTGCATCATTTCTGGAAAAAAAGCAACAATAGTTGGCTTGTGTGTTCAAATTATACATTATCATATCTCCTTAAATTACACTGATTGGAAGCAAATGACTACTTTGAGAGTGATTGCTTCTGACACTCTACAGGTTAGAGCTTTCTATATATGGATGGTGCGCTTGCATTGACATTCTTGATGTGATTTCTCCACTTGAGTAGAGAGGCACTGCCATTACCTGGGGGCTGTTACATAACTGCAGAATTCAGCCAGTGGGCTTTTGGGTTCACGAAGATCAACTGGATTTGATCATCAAGCAGAAAAATGGAAGAAAGTGACAGGGGCTGTTGCCATCGGCTGTTGATGTTAATCCAGCACATCCCTTCATGAGTCAAACTAGAGTGGTACCCTATAAGCCTACATTTTTAACCTATTTCTTATACTGGTACTGATATGCAATGAAAAGGGAAACATGACTGGCTTTTAAAGGAACAAATGGGTTTGAACATGAGCAGTGCAATAACTAAATGTCTTTATTATTACACATTAAAAAAATAAAAAGTGAGTACCTTACTATTAGTGAGTTACACATGTAAGTGAAGACGTAAGCCACCATATCTCTGTATATGTGGCTCCATTTATAAGATTTATAAAAGTTTGAATCCTCTTGACTTCTGTTTTTTTCACATCACGACTACTGAACAATTTTTTACACTGATTGTGGGGCACAATTCTGGGTGTGATTTGTCCTGGTTATTCCATCATTTACAGTATGGCTGTAGCATCCAATCAGAAGGCAATCAATGATAGTGGTAAACCACAGTGATATTCAGTCTATGTCTAGGGAAGGTATATCATTTGATAGTTTAAGTGATTTCTGATATGCAAGGTGGTTATGCGTCAATATTGATTTTTGTGTTCACAACTGTTTAATATGATCAGCCCTCTTATCTCACCTTTGAAATGGCTTCCGCTGGGAAGGTCTGTATAATGTTCAGCCAAATATGGTGATGCATACCTTGATAAATATGCAGTTTTTTTTTGTATATTCTCCATTGTGACCTACTTTGTTGAATGAGTCATTTAAACATGGCCAGCCAGCTGATTGCCACCACAGTGAATATGTCAGTTATTCACAGTCATTGCCATATGTATTGCAGTGATAATGAGTCACTGCCATATTGCTCTCAGTCATCAAAGAGCATGACCTCAGACATGTTCCTAGGTCCACTGGGAATTAGAGTTCAACCTCAGCATGTAGCTGACAGTTTTTTTCAGCTAGTACTTTATTCCCTTACAAAATGTATGTAATGTGACATGCACACCTCATCTCTGATACTATAAAACCTCTGTCATTCTGATGATACCGCCATGGTTGGCCTAAACGACTACTGCACCTTAACACGCACGTTTGTGGAATCGTATCTGAAAGGGGTTTTCATTTTTTTAGGGATTAAAATTCTCAAAATAGTCGAAGTACACAACTACATACTCTATGAAATAAGCTTAGTACATAGGTCTACCTACATTGTCCCAAAATAGTAGGTTTTTACACTGGTGGGTGTTCTGGCCGCCATGCTATAAACCTTTATGAGAAGGAGCATGAATTTGGGGTAGTCTGTTTTTTTTTTTTTTTAAGAATACTGAAATTATTAACGAGGTTATATGTGGGATTATTTTTTGCCAGTTTCGGTGACTAAAACTGCGTAATTTGAGAAAGCTAAACCACCGAATGTTGCCATTTTTGGATCTATCCAACAAACCGCATTTTCATAATTACAGATACCCGCCGATGTGATCTGCTCAGGGGGGTGTGGGCTGGCTCTCGGTCCTGCTGGTGTGTGTCTGAGAGAGAGAGAGAGAGAGAGAGAGAGAGAGACAGAGAGAGAGAGAGGGTGTGTGTGTGTAGAGAGAGAGAGAGAGAGCGAAAGCGCACTCCAGGTTGGCTCAGGCACCGGTACGGGAGAACGGAGCGTTGTGCACGGCGGCAGCATGGCTTCGTCTCACGGGAGAAGCGACATGCGGTTTGCAGACTGGATGGCAAGTTTACCGCAGAGCATGCACACCATTCCCCTCACCAACTTGGCTATTCCCGGTAGGTGTTTCTTCACGTTACCCCAATCCCCATAATCCGGGAGTGTGTCCATGTCTGTTCATCCGCGCGCATTGCATAGCTATCCTGGTAGATGAGAAATAACTAAATACAATAAGCTTTAGTTTTAAGGTTCGGAATATTTTACTGCTTTGCAAACTTTGATGTTTCGCTTTGCACCTTGTGCACCAGCAAAAAATATGGCTTTAGTTTAATTGTACCTCATTAGAACAAAGGGTAAGACCTGTTGCGCAACGTAAGAAGTGCCATGTAGCCTATCTTCAACAGTTCACTGTCGTCCGCTGTCTGAAGGTTATACATCATTCCCAGATGATTTCTGGCTTCTCCATCTAATGTTCCAAACGGTGTGAATGCCTGAGGTAAAAAAAAAAAACAAACAAACAAGAAATGTAAGAGCTGCTCCAAAGATTCAGAATAGACAGATGAACCATGCTGCTCAGTTTTGTGTAGGACTTTTGCGTTTGTACAGGGGTGGTGCCCATAGAGGAGAAGAGACAGGGAGTGGGATGGGTTCAGTCTGTGCACTCTGATGATCATGGCGCTTCCGATAGAAAATGAGCTGTTGGACCTTTAGCCAATCAGTGCGCAGGTTTCCTTAAACTCCATTCAAATTGGAAATGCTGGTTGTAAAGCCCACTACTGATCTGACTGATGGAATGGCTTATTAGCAGCCAGTTAATTCCATATCTGCTTCCTAGTGATTATCACACCTCCACACAAAGCGCTTTCATTCTTCATTTTCTTGCATTTCTAATCCTTTGTGCTCCCCCTCTTTCTCTGTCTCACTCTCCCTCTCTCTCTCTCCATCTCCCTCTTGTTGTTGAACTGTAGATACCTTATATGTTTAGGGTTGGCAGATGCAATGATGGCATGTTAGATGCAGATGGCTTTGAGCTTAGTGTCCATAGAGGCGTGGCATATCACCAGCTCTAACCACTGCTCCCTAAGGATGCCAAAACAAATGCAAGTTATCATGTATTTAGTCAAATGCATCTGAAAGACAGAAAGACCATGGTATGTATTACCTCATGCTTGTCATTTTGTTGAATCACGTGACGTGCTGCATTACACCACAGTTCAACCATGCCAAGGCAGCATGGGAAACATGCTCTGTCCCATTTAATTAGGTATCATTACTTCTTATTGGCCCTGCAGGCTGCAGCTCAGATGCTCTCTGTTTATCCTCTATTTGGATACAGATTCTGTAAACATCCTACGATTCGGTGCCCCTTTTTGTGTGTGTTTGCACACATTTGGTGTAAGGTTTGTAAAGATAAATGTCATATTCCACAGGATTGTATGAGAGCTTATTTAGCAACAACCATGTGTTCTTATTGGGGTGTATGTCAAAAGTGTGTCTCATATTACATCCTTTTATCTCATCTTAGAACGCAGCATTACGAGCCTTTCAATAAGGAATAAAACTGGGACAGAAGACGCTAAACAAATGAGATAGCTGTCTTATTTCCTCCACAAGTTTCACTTATTCTCATAGTTGGAAGAATATTATATTCTTCATCTTCGATTCCTGCTGTACAATTCTCAGCACCAACCCACTGTTCCCTGTAATTCCGCTGACCGTGTCAGTGATCCAGGCTAAAGTGTTTTGGCAATTTGGAGTACTCTACCATGTGGGGGTGATGTGATGGCATGGTGCTCTGCGGTTGCCAAAAAGCTGAAACAGTCCCCACTGTGTCTATGTTGCCAGAATTGCACAGCTGTACTCATTAGTATACATAATCGTCTGTATGATTGGCAATGAATTTATTTGAGGGTTTCATGGTAACAGAGAAGACTTAATTAGTATCTGAATTTATCATGTTTAAATGGCATCTATTTGTCATGTTCCATGTAATTGGTATATCGCTAATGCAGCCAAATAATAGGAAAAACTGTATATGGCCACACACATTATAGTTTGTCAAGCTAGCATGTATACAACAGCTGCTGCACGACAGATAGTATCTACTTACTAGTTTACCAGATCAATGACTTAGATCTATCTGGCCAATCTCTATATGAAAACTGAAAACCACATGATGTGTTTGTTGATCATGGATGATCACCTCTTCTGTAAACGGCCTTGGTTAGGATGATTAAATGCTTTGTTGGTTTATTTGTAACAAAGGTAGGCAATTAAAACAGATGAATTTTCATTCATATAGAAGTTAATAGAGCGAAAGGTTATTGCTTCACTCCATCATGTGGACCGAGGTGGTGGCAGTAATGGTAAAGTGCCAGCTAATCTATGCAAAGGAACCTCTGTGTATACAGTATGTATGTAACATACAGGTGACTTTATCTGCAGGCAGACATTGAAAATCAGTCAAGTTAAGACATTTTATGTAAAAAAACAAAAGAACAAATGCTGACCAAAGTGATTTGCAAATAAGTGTAGAAAATGTAGACTATTACAATAAAAGTAAAAGTGTGAGCACAAAAGACTTGAGGTAACTCAGTTAATGGGAGATGCTCAATCACCCCTGGATTTTTACTGGGAGTTGATTGGACAATTTAGTCAAAAGATCTAAGGGGTCTGAAAGTGGAAATATACAATGATGCCTATTCATGCGGTACTTTAAAAACAAATTAAAGAATCTTAAAATCAATTATTAATCTAATTGAAAGTCAATGAAGGGAAGCCAGTCTGGGGCGAGGATGGTTTCTCTTCTTGAGGAGCGTTGTTGCATGTTGCATGTTGCATGTTGCACAGGCTGCAGACAAGACAAGGCCAACTGACTGACTCCCACAGACAGAGAGTTACAGTAATCAGTCGGCAAAGAGATAAAAGCATGTCTCCATATGCCTTTTCATTTTCTTTGGTGGAAGAAGCTGCCACTTCAGGACACAGCTTGTGTGAAGACTGTTTCTAAGATAATAAAATGTTATTAATCCTATTCTTAACTGATCAATATTGTAGTCAAAGTGCTACTGCAAAGCCTGATCCTGAATAAGGTTTGGACAATACAAGATAAAACAATTATACTTTCTTATTTTCTTACAAATCTTCTAAGGTCCAACTGAATAAATATTGCATGATTTTCAGAGTCCAAAGACACCAACAAATCATTTGTCACCCTGAGGAGAGCTGACTCACTGCTGTTGTGTTGTGACTATATGTACCAGAACCATAGATAAAAACAAAGAACTCAAAGAACAGTCAGATTAAGATATGTTTTTTTGATCAGATGGCAGCATGTAACATAACTACTGGCCAGTGAGTTGTTTATTTAGAGTTATAACAGAGTTATAAAGTTGTTTTGCTGTGACTCATGACACAGCATTGCAGCCAAGTGCATTGTGGTTGTGTCCGTTATTATATAAAAAATAATACATATTTTCATGAGTAAAATCCTGCCAGTCCTCTGCTAAGCACCTTGTTTGTTAGATAAGAACATGGTCGCTTTCAGACATGACTCAGCTCTCTGTGTTGGCCCCACGTGCCACTTTGGCTTATCAAGTCTACAAGTCAGATGACACGTTCAATAACTAATTGGAGAAAGGGTGAGACAGAATGAAGAGAGTAAAGGAAGAGGAATTGGTACCAGATTAAAGATGGAGGTCATTAAAGGAAGAGAATGAGGGAAGGTGGGAGGGAGTAGTTACTGCTTTCCTTTCCCCAAGGTGATCAGTGGGGGACATGGTGGGCTGTTTTTCTGTGGCTATTGTTAGATCTGCTAGGTGAATGCTGCAGACTGCCTGGCTGCATGTTCGACTGAATGAGGTGGTCAGCAAAGGTGTGCTGCCAGAGATACTGTGAATCTTTTTCTTTGTGGTTCTGTTACCATGAAACAAGCTTTACTTGAGGGAAGGGAATGGCCAGAATTTTACTACCATAGTAATTAAATTGGATTTTCAGGACTGTGGTATGAGTGGCATGACTATGTATCTGTGTCCAGCACAGTAACTAAATATAGATTTAAATGTCTAAAGGTCTATTTTTATTAATTAACTATGCTCTGGTAATAACAGGCCAACATATTTACATGCACTCTCTGAATAAGTTCCACATCTTTTCTTTCTGGCTTTTTAAAGTTGCATTAATTAATTTTTGGATGCTAGGGGGCAGCAAACACACAGCCCTGACATATTATTTCTTAAAAATTGATTATTTATATTCATATGTTCATCTCTTTCACTGTACATATAGTGATTTATTTCAATGTTAACTGTATTGCTCAATACAGCTTTAAAAGTAGTTTTTGAAATGGTTGGTAATAAACAGCATTGGAAGTAATGCGTTATAATGTACTACTTTTGATGGGAACTCGTAATGTAACGAATTACAATTTCAGATTAAATAGCACAATTACAATTACTGAAATTAAAATGGGCTCAGTCAATATGTACATCTATGTGGGTTGTCTTCTACTAAATCCTGTTTACTGCTTTATACTAAATGCTACTTACATGCAGTAACTTTAACTAATAACAATTTAATAAATTATAAAACTAATTTGAGAAAGCAACAAATTTAAGTTTTAGGTTGCTGCTGTTAATAATATAATGATGAAAAAAATGTTTTGTGATTGGCCGAGATATAATTGGCACATTCCTACTGACAAGAACAGTTGGATAAGTTTTTTATTTTGATTCAAAATTAGACTGTGGGTTGTATCTGGCTAAAAACTGATTCCTTTGCTATTAAATTACATACAAAATTACATTTTGTTTGACTTCATTCAAAGCAGGCAAACGACTGGATGGGATAAGTGACTTTACCTCAGAAATACTACAATGACCACTTGCATGAGATTGCTCAAGGGAGCCACTGGCTGACGGTAACAGCTTAAGGCTTAACCAGGGGTAAGAAATGAATAGCATACCTTAGACCAAGGGGAAAGGGTGAAGGCAATTGTATTAAGTCAAGATGTCCTTGCGGGCAAAATAAAAACAAATCTGTTGCAGAAGAGGCATCTTCAGCCTTGCCGGCTCTCTTGAGGTAGAGGAAAAGGCTGCCTTCAGACTTATAGCTGTAAATCTGTCCATCAGTCCCTTGACTAGATTATTCTGCTGCCACTTAAGCCCCTGAACAAGGAGGATGAATGGTATCAGATGCCAGGGTAAACACTGGTAGTGCAGCAAGATGTTTGAAGGGCAGGAAATCAGCCGGCTAAAAGCCATTGAAAAACAGAGGATGTGAAATTCAAAACAAACAAATAGTTTGGGGGAAATAGTTTGGTTGAGAGGAAAACAAAGGGAGACAATCATTCTAGAAAAATGAAGCAAATGGTACAGCTATTTTCTGTAATGGATATGCCCCTGTGAGTCACCCTAATCTCTGTTTATCTCAACTTTAGTTTGACCAAAGTAATTTTGTGTGACCAGCCACTCATTCTGCCCAATTTCAGCTCACTTTAGACTTTAGACAATGACTTTAAAATTGCTCAATCTACACCAATCTACTTTTACTGTTATTTGGATTTTATAATTGACAACAAAGCGTAGAGATTCAGTTTAAAGAATGGTTTTTACAAAGAAATATATTCTCTGCATTAGTATATGGTATACCCACAGTAAACCATCTCAATATATATATAAGCAAAGTTTAAATTTTGTAAGTTTGTTTAGTAAACCTTTTAAATATCTTAGAGAGGCAGAAATAGGTAGTTATGGATGCTCCACAGGGCGGCTTTTGCCTCACCACTGGCAGTTAATTGAGTTTCCAGCAGGGGGACATTTATCTTGATTCTAAAAGTCAAATAATTCAGCTTCATTGGAAATGTAGGTGCTTTGTGCGCACTGCCGCTCGAACAAGATGGAAAAATTTTAGCGAGGTAGGAGACAAAGCGAGATTGGAGAGAATTGAACAGGAGTTTGAAGACTAGAGGGCTGCATTAAGTAGATGGAAAGAGCGACAGTTGTAGAATTACTGTCAAATCATATAGAAAAACCCATACAGGGAACATGTAGAGGAGAGAGGATGGGGAGCCTGGAGCTCATATTCATGTTTTAGTCCACCGTTATGTTCCCTTTCCTTCTCTTTTTTTACTCTCCTCTCCTCTCCTCTCCTCTCCTCTCCTCTGCAACCGAAAATAGATCTTGAAAGAGTCCATGGTGAGCTGTAATGATTTGTCATGAAAAAGGGCATAAACCACCAGTGGTCCTCTGAATGGTCTGCTCTCATTCAGTCAGAATGACTCAGTTAACACAGGTCAATTCTCTAAGGTAACAGTAATCATCCACCACCACCACTACCACCGTCATCCTAGTCATCCTTGTCATCCTTGTCATTACGTGAACTGCTATGTTATCATTGTCTCACCTGGTTTTAGCCTTTATTTGTATTTTTTGTGCTTTGGCTCTCTCTTTCCACTCTCTTCATTTCTTCTTCGCCCCAGTAGGACATCAGCTTCTTTATGTCTGTATCTGACATGTGATTATGTTGCTGATGTGAGGGAAGGAGAGTTCACAAAGTTCACATCCTGCACTTAAGAAAGTGCAGCTCTGTTCTCCCGCTGTGACAGTCTAAAGCCATCAAGCATCATGAGAGTAGACAGTCTGGATACTGTCTATAGTAAGCGGGTCATTTCAAACAATGGACTGTGGCCCTTTCAATCAGTGCGATCAGATAGAACCAAAGCATAATAACCATGCAGGTCTTTACCAACAAATATATTTGTGATAGAGGAAAAGGTTAGGTCACTGGGTGAGGCCACAACGGAAGCAGTAATATGGATTTCCTTTAGTAAGCTATGTGGTAACACTGATTACTGTTTGATTACACACACACACCATAGCTTTAGTCATTTGTTTTAGATACCACATTTTTGTCTGATTTATGGCAGTTAAACATAGTAAAGAAAGGGATAAAAACCTAATTTAACATCATATTCATATGTCTAATGAATGCAGAGTTTTAGTTTCTGTACGCACAAATAAAAGGTGAATGACTCAATTCTGAGGCGCAATGTTGAGATCATATGTTAAAATATGTATGAGCATGCAAATTCGCTGTTTCCTGTCATTTCCAAATGTGTTGCCCTTGAGTCATGGCACAGCATTAAGGTGGAGCAAACTATTTCATGCCGTAAACAATAATTAATCATTGTTCGGCACTCAGGTAGCCAAGCTTGATTGTGCTGGAATGTACTTTCCACCTCTCTGCACAGCTTTCTCTGCATTTTTTTTAAAAGATGTTCTGCACACTTGGCGAAATGTTTTGCCCATCAGTCTCTGTTTTTCCTGTGAGATTGTTTCTCTCTGCAGTACAGCATAATCCACAGGCTTTTTGTCATACATATTTAAGGCAGTGCTAGTTAGGAATGCACAAATAAGCTTTATTAATTTGCCATAGGTGTCCAGCTTTGATTAAAACTTGTTAAGATATAGTCGGTTGCATGATCCTATGAGACTGTTGAATTTAATATATATGAGCTGCACTTCTTTTTCTAACATAACGTGACAATAAATATCTCAGGAATGTTCTACAGCTGAAACAATTAGTCTGTTTATTGAGTAGTAATAAAAAAGTAATTTTTCATGCAAAAAAAAAAGCTTAAGTCATTGTTTTATGTCATCGCCTTTGAAAAATTGCAGTTGGGTATTTTTCACAGATTTCTGACATTCTATAGACCAAGCGATTAAATTATAAATGGATGAAATAACTGGTAGATTAGTGAAAGTAATTGTGTGACACAACTTTCAGAGCCAGAGATAAATCTTTCTCTGTAGCAACAACACAGCGAGCTGTTGCGACTGGTTAAGGTCATACTCTGTTACGCTGTGACCCTGGTGGTGCGGTTCAGCCTGTAGTGATGCTGTTTCCTGCCCTGCCCCAGGATTCAGCTGTCTACCCTGCTTATGGTCATTCTCTGGGCTGACTGCGAAGAACTGGCACTGGAGTATTAGCTGAAGGTCATTTCAGGCACTGTGTCTGCTTGTTTGCAGTGTGTGTGTGTGTGTGTGTGTGTTGGTGGAGGAGGGGAAGGGAGGGGAGGGGGATGTTTGTGTGAAAGAGTGAGGGAACGTGATGAAGAGACAAAAAGAGGATGAGAAATTGATTGCAGTGATGAGAGTAAGATACCAGAATTACTGTCAGCCTGATTTGCATAACATGTGCATACACACACATATATACACACACACACACACACACACATTTTCTCACTCTCAAACAGACATGGAGTTACCATGGAGCCGTCACCAAGGAATGCATCAATCTATTGACAGACAATTGGTCCAACATTATATTTACCGCCACTATTGGGAACTGTTTCTTTTAATACAGCTCATAGACAGTCCTAACAGTTAAATAGGCCATATAGTAAAACTAGAATGAGCTTTTATTTATAGGGTTAGTTTAACCGAATGATAAAACATATGACTTTTTCACAAACAGCAGTAATAATCTATTGTATTTTATTTATTTTCTGCTGAGGTTTTGAAATATCTTATATCTGACATTTCGGCTGCCACTCTAAAACAATGGTGGTGAATGGAAATGTGTTTGTGATGCTCAAGGCGCTGAAAAATGACATTTCAGTTAATCAGAATAATCCATACAACAGTTTTCATTAGGACTGCTTTCAGCAGAAGTAATACAATTATGATATCATGATATTTTAGTGAGATGATAATGAGCAGAACTGTAAGCGACCTAGAAATTTGACAGTGGGTCAGCTTGTTCACAGCACGTACATCTCATTGAAAGCTGTAGTTCGGCAACCCTATCTGACAGAGGTCTATCCAGTTCTACTTGTAAAACTTCAGTATCTGTCCTTTATATATTCAGCAGAGGGTGAAATAGCTGTCATCTAACTGAGATATATGTTGAGTCAGGGTCAGTAATTTTTCTTTTTCTTTCTTTGACTTTAATTTTCTGTCAAAAGCCCTGCAATATATTATCTGTCCTGTCCAAAATATCTTTAAAAAGTTTGGATTAAATTGATGACGAGATGTCTAGGATCTTATTTCCGTTTAGAAAAAAGTTGGTCTGAAATAAACTTAAATGAGAAAGTTACTAGCAGGAACTGAATTACCAGGGTGGTCTTGTTCTATTTAGATCCCCGAAACAGGAGTACGGTCAAATATAACAATTGTATTATATGAATATAATGAAATGGAATGAAGGATCCTATTATTTACAAGAAAAATACACTATACGTTTTCAAGTGTGAAAGAACTGTGAAAAGGAGAAATGAGCCTTTTTTTCTTTTTTTTTTCTGTTTAGAAAATCTCCAAGGGTCTGAAATTGCATATTGAGTCACTGAGGAATAGACTAATTTAGCAGAATGAAGTCATTCTGACAGAAGCATCAGAGCAGCAAGTTTAACCAAAGCCCCACTTCACATCAGCACCAGTAAAGATATACAGTGACATAGAGTATAAAAAAACAAAATGTCTGTTAGGAGCATATGTTGTTTGTTGACCAGGTAACCTGCTACTTACAATTACATACAGTACACACTCTTGCACTTCTGTCATATTCTCCAGAAGTAACTGCTGAGAAACCATTGTCGAACTGCTATTTCCAAGATCAACAGAGATATCAACTTAACACTATTGAGCTATACCGTATTGTACCAAAAAGTAAAAAATAAGTGGGGCTGCACAGAATAGGTAGAAACCACAAATTGAGAATTGCATTTGAGGATTTACTATAAAAAAAATCTATACTAAAAGCTATATAAGAAAAATATAATAATCTCAGCATTGTTGTTCTCTGGGAGCTCTGTTTTGCTTTAGAAATGTGATGGATGAAAATGTCAGTGTATGTGTGCACATACTTGTTTCTTTTCAAGTTGTCAGAGTTCATAACTTACAACCACGGAGGCTGTTATTCACACAGTCAGTGTTGTTGCCATGGCACCAGGCTGTTTTCGAGCACTGACCCCACTCTTGCAGCTGTGCCCCCACCCCACAGAAATAAAACCGGCAGCAGTCAATACCTGCTCATGTTTCTGTCTTCTCCAGGATCCCATGATTCCTTTAGTTTCTACATCGACGAGGCGTCTCCAGTGGGCCCTGAGCAGCCGGAGACGGTGCAGAACTTTGTTTCTGTTTTTGGCACAGTAGCCAAGAAGCTAATGAGGAAGTGGTTAGCTACACAGACTATGAACTTCAACAGCCAACTGGAGGCTGGGATCCGCTTCTTTGACCTGCGCATCTCCACCAAGCCCCGCGACCCCGACAACGAGCTGTTCTTCGCCCACGGGCTCTTCAGTGCCACGGTCAGCATAGAGTTTAGTTGGTTTTTGATGTGATGAATATTTTGCAATGCTTGTGGTTGCTAAGTGATGTTTGTGCATTTCTGTGACTGTGGCGGCATATTTATTTGTGAGTGCAGACTGAGAGCTTAATCATACAAGGTCCTTCAGAGATTTTAAGTACGTCGCAGTTGTTTGTGTGCCTATGTTTCATATAATTATGTCATTACAAAAACTATTAATATGTTTATTGTTCTTATTTGTTTTTTTTAGGTGAGAGAAGGTCTAGAGCAGATCAGTAGTTTCCTGTCAGCTCACGCCAGAGAGGTTGTGTTCCTGGACTTCAACCACTTCTACGGCGTGCAGAACCTGCATCATGAAAAACTGGTGGCCATGTTGAAAGAGGTGTTTGGGGAGAAACTCTGCCCAGTTGTCTTCGCTCAGGAGGTAAATTCAAATACACGTAACAGCTAGTAAGTTTAAAAGCAATTAAGTGAACTTGAGGATTCTTTCACCTTTAACAACTCTTGATTTAGAAACGAAACTGGAACCATTTTTTTGTGTCTTAAAAAGGCTTTTGATAATTATTGTTTTCCCAGCCCTGCTCAACACTGATTTCTGTGTTTTGATCACTTGAGATGCAGAATGATGGTTATCACATCCCTACTCATTGTTCATTTTTTTCATTCGGAGTATGCCCTTTTGCACAGAAGTAGTAGTAGTAGTAGTCCAGCCTTCACATGCTCAGATTTGTCTACATGCTGCCTTTCTCTTTCAGTTATTTTTTTCAACTTGACCCACCTCCACCCCTCTCTCCCTTCCTTCCTCCCTCCTCCAGTCCCGAGGAACCTCCTCCCCCCCTCCCTCCCCCCACCATGAGGTGATGGGTGTATGTGTAGAACCTGGAAGAAGGAACACCAGTCATCTCATAAAACTCATCACACTTTTGCCAGCTCCCACGCCAGCATCACCACTCTAAGATCGTACTTTCCTGTCAGGTGCTGCTGCTGAGTGAGGATGTGTAGAAAAGTATTGAGAAGAGGAAAAGGCCAATAGTGACTAGTGGATCCCTGGGAAATAATGAACTTCTCTTCAATGGTGTAGGGGCATCAAGGGTAGTGTTTAAATTCAGAGTAGACAAATGACTGGTGTTCTTTCCTCTACAGGTATTATATTCACTCCTCTCCCCTTTCCTTCCCTTTCCTCCATTCCTTTATCTATGAGTACATACATCTACTATTCCCTTGTCACCCCTTTCCCTCACTGTTGCTCTCCTATACAAACTTAATCCACTGCACAACTCTTTTGCAGCAGTTGTTTGGCTTGTTTGTACAGCTGGAAGGTCATCTTTACAAAATAAATCACCTCGTGAGGGAGAACCAAAAAACAACGGGTCTATACTATAACCACATCACTGTACACCATCTAGCTTATAATCAACTGACAGGGAATATTGATTTTCTGTTGTTCTTGTTTCTAGCCAAATTAATTCACCTACAATCTTCCACACAAATATTTCAGCAGAAATGTAACCATAGAAACACATGTTGCTGTACGTCGTAACAGAACTGCAGCTGTGTGAAAATTTGCCCTTGGTAGCCTTTACCAAAAAACTGTTAAAATAACAGAAACTGCATATAGAACTGCACAAAATAGTTATATCTATTATTTACTAGGAATTTAATTTCTGGCAGTTAATCTTCCGTCTTTGCAATTCTGTGAAATTGTTTTACCTCTTAAATAGCCTGTAGTGGCTTTAAAAATACAAATTAAAATTACATATTTGGTATTCTTTCAGTTCTCAAGCCATTTTCTTAAGAAGCAATACGCTATGATTAGACAGTGGTTGTTTATGTGACAAATCTGTCTGCCTTTAGAAATAACCTACATGACCATTTCTATGGTCAATCAGACCTGAGTATTGAACAAAGCGGCGTAATAATCAGAGTGATGCATTACATCGGGCAATTATATCCACTTATTTCTATTTTTTTCCATTTGAATGAACATAAAGCATGACAGAAAGGGAGCTTTTATATTTACTATTCAACACCCATCACCTTTTTTTCTCCCTTATAACCTCCTGCTCCCTCCATCCCCAGGTGACTCTGCAGTATCTGTGGGAGAAAGAGTACCAGGTGCTTGTCTTCTACCACCACCCAATGGCCCTGGAGGTGCCCTTCCTGTGGCCAGGCCAGATGATGCCCTCTCCCTGGGCCAACACCACAGACCCAGAGAAGCTGGTTCAGTTTCTCCAGGCATCTGTCACTGACCGCAGGTCTGCATTTATTCTTTTTTTCATTGTGGTCACTCTAGGTTCTTAATACACAAGGCTAAATGGAAAAAATCTCTGTACTTTGGTATCTCATCTTCCCAAATGATGGTTTTATTGCCTTAGTTAATTGTCGATGTATCATTTCTTGTGTTTTATAGCATTACAAATGTCCAAAAGTACAACCATGGTGGGTCATTCTAGTAGGATTTTGATTCATTGTCATAATGCTCATACTGACAAACTTATTGTATTGTAACGTATTGTTTTCATAAGCCAACTAAGAGGATGAGAAGTGGGGTGAAATGCACAAGTTATCACAATCTCTGGGCTATGTCACAATCACACAAACTTGCAAAACGTAAAGTAAAACTACATTTTACCCAGTAAAACTCATACAGACATTTAAAGGAAACTGCTGACAGTTATGGGAAAAATGTTCTTCAATACCTGACATAAATTTGCATGTGAAATTGTGTTTTTGTTTCTTCTGTGGGCACTTAAAATAATTAATTCCAAAGTAAAGTTTATGTATCTCTCTGCAGCAGATTTCATAAGGTACTTTACATAAATAGTGCAAAAAAAGAAAATAAAAATACAGCAAAATAAATTCTTGATGTGTCACCTGCAGGAGGAAGGGGACCTTCTTTGTCTCCCAGGTGGTTCTGACACCGAAGGCCAGCACTGTCATGAAGGGCGTGGCCAGCGGACTGAGAGAGACAATCACAGAAAGGTGTGTACGCCTGTTTATGTATATGCGAGTTGTTTAGTGACTTTTATGTTCATGTTGAACATGGTGGCACACTATTATTCATCATATACACAGGCTCTGTGGGACCAACATTAAAGCAACACCTCAGACACCAGAGGCCACAGAAATTACATGATTTACCCATAATAACTCACAACAAGAACTCATGGGCACGTGCATGCATACGCAAACACATAAGCAGTCGTATGTGAGTCATCGTGGCATTTTATAACTAAATCCAGTTGGTTTCTACAGGTACCCCTAGGCGTTTGACACTGACCTCATTCAAGTTTTTTTTTAACAGCTGCCACAAACCTGAGGCGATGCTTCTCATCCTTCTCCTCCCTCTTTCTATATCTCCCCTTCTCAGCTCTGGTTCAGGATTTTTTTTTCCTAATTTACCCTCAGCTTTGTCTGTACTTCACTCCCTCTTAATGTCACCAGTTTGTTAAAAGCCTCAGCAGCAAAACCACCAATTTTCCTGGCATGAATTATTCATTTGATAACTCCACTATCAGCCATTCTCACCAGGCGTTCGGTGACTTTGATGTAGGCATCCTTCAAAATTCCGTCCATTCGTTTTGCCACACAGACTCTGCCCGTGTAGGACTCAACAGAACAAGAAAGCCAGCATGAGGGGGAGACGACATGTAGAATATTGTCATGCAGAAAGCTGGGCGAGGCATCTGTAGTAGTAACACCCTCCTCTGGTGCATGGTTTGCATGAACATGTCCAGCAAGTGTTCAGAGTGTCATCCTCACAGCTGGTGTCTGGCTTGCAGACAACCCATGCTGCGTCACAGAGATCTTTTATCACAGCGTGCCCCTCTCTGTGTGTTAAACCAGCCAACCATGAATCATCCTTTCTTCTATCTCTCCCTGTATCTTCTGTATACGCCTCCCCTCTCCCCTTGCTCTTTCCCCTGACGCATGTCTGTATGTGTTTTTGTGCGTCCTCCCAGGGCCTTACCGGGCATGATGCAGTGGATTAGATCGCAGAGACCCGGGGAGAGTGGCATCAACATTATCACAGCTGACTTTGTGGAGCTCGGAGAATTCATCAGTGCCGTCATCACCCTCAACTATCACCTGGATGACGAAGAAGATGACGCCACCTGAGAGCCTGCAGGAAGGCGTTGGGGAGCACAGTCACGACCGTCAGTGGTTTGGTCTGTGCTCACTCTTTTCTCTTCGGCATTTTTTTCAGGAGGGGAGCTGCACTGCTCCTTTCACTTTATTTAGGGCTATAGTAATGCGAGATCAAATGGCAAAAAAAAGGGGTTGAGGGAAGAGAAGTTGGGATTAGGAGAAACAACACTAGTGTTTGGTTGGAGCACAAGGAGAATGATGTTTTGTTTGTTTCCAGTTTGGGAATCAATATAGTTTTTTCCCAAGTGAGATGTTAACTTCCTTTTCCTCCTGGGCTGTAAAAATGCTTTTTCCACTGATCAAATGCACTGTTTTCTGTCTCGCCACTTTGCCAAGGGTAAATTCCTCAGAGCATATCAACTTTCAGCTAAATGTATCAGTACATCATTTTAATGGTATTCTAGTGACGGTGACATTTTTTTTTTTTTTTCGGAGGTTGAAATAAGTCTGTGTAACTTAAACCACTCAATTTTGTAGGCCGGTGTAAGTAGCTAGCAGTTGTTTGTCTTGTTTGGAAGTCTTTTTTTTTTCTTTTTCTAACAATATGCATCCCTGATCAGATCACTGCGGGTGTTTCAAGCTGCTTGAATGCGTTTGATGTGTTTAAAAAGTGTTATTACGTGTTTACTCAATACATAGACAAGAAATTAACCATTTCCTATTTGTTTCTTCAGCAGTATTCTCTCAAGGGATGTTTTTTTTCTCCCAGTAATAGTCTCCACTGAAGTCAGCCTGCAGCCTAGACATTGATGAGACACCTCTGCACATTGCATTGGTAAATCATTGATTGATTCATTCAAAACCATAGAGAAATAGAGAGCAAGAGTGCAGCTTGGCCAGCCAAGAAAATGCCACGTGTACTTTATCTTTGGTGCATCTAAACGAAACAACAATTTTTCACATTGTCAGTGTGTTTAAAATCTCACAACAAGCATCAACTGTCACTGCAAGGTATGTTACAAAAAATATAGTTTGTTAAGAACAGCTAGAACTGCCATCAATGATACTAGTAATTTCTAATGGTTAGGCATCCAGTGTGACAAATTTATTAGGTTTTCTGGTGGGTGCAGAGTCATGATGAGCCAAGTATAAAAATACAGTACATCTGGATACAAGAGTGTGTCCAGTCTGCTGAATGCTTTGCCCCTGTGCGTGCATCTTTACTTACTGCTGTAGCGCAGTATATATGAGTCATCATGAGATGTATCATGGTGTTGTGTCCCATTTTATTTCAAGTCAGAAAAGGGTAGACATCATAATTAGGAGTCAGGAGGTCTTGATGTGACAGCAGTGCTTTGACACTTGGAAAATACTTCAATAAATGTTTATTAGGATCTAGCTGTAGCTCTTTGGTGTCTACTTTATTAGGTGTTTCATGTTTCTGAATGTTTCTGAATCTCCAGAGTTCTCCTATATCAGTACTGGTGCAATACATTTAAAGCACTTTCATTTATGTTCAATGCATTTCTTTGTATACCTCTTTGTATACCCTGCAATATTTTATTTAAGATGGAAAAGCACTTTGAAATGGCACCCAGAAAGGTAATAGAAATATTTTTATTGGAAGGTTTTACGCATTATGCATGAAAAAAAAAAATAAAAATACTAGTCAAACATCCACACACCTTATGATCAGTGTGGCGTTTTCTGCAGAGAATGTATTCTGTAAGGACATTGTTGTCTAGTTTGGTAATGTAAAACCAAAACAGGAAACTCAACTCTTTGGATTTGTGAATGTATGTGTCTTGTGAGTAACTGTGCCATTTCTAAAAGTCTCACGTGATCGAGTGACTGAGTATCGGCTAGAAAGTCATTTTTGTATTGTATGCTTCAATGTGGAAATGAGTTAAAGTTTTAGAGTTCAAACAGTACTTCTTTCACTTCAGTGTAGTTTCATGTTAAAATGTTTTATATCGTGGGAAGTTTGTACATACTGTAATTGCAAATAGTATACTGCCTATGAATTGTAAATTATTTAAATCATTGCAAAGAGTCATTGATAATCATTTCTTAACTTATACCTTAACTGGGCTATCATACAGCTTCTTGTTTTTCATATTTTCAGTTTTGTGCATGAACCAAAAAGTTCTACGTATACCTTTTGTTGTACATCAACGAGGTCCATTAGGTTTGTGCATCTCTTCAGTTATTTTCTGCATATTGTTCTTAAGAGCATGGGTGCATCTCAGCTGGAAGTGTTTTTACCCTTTAAGACAAATCCACTAATTAATTTATTTTTTTAAATGTGCACCGCTACTGCCCCATACAGATTGAAAATGAAACCACACAAATGAGCAGACTTGAAGAGGCTTGCAAATTGTGTTGTAAAGACATTTGTGTCTCCCCTGTTCCAAACTGTTGTCATTGCCTTTATGTTCTGGTGTGAAAAGAGTCCTTTGCTGTTGTAAAATTCAAAAACTTTTGTTCAAATGAAAGTGACTCTGTTCTAAGTGGAAAATGGCCAATCAAATAAAGCTTCTATGCCTAATGAGTGACTAAGTGATGTATCATTTCATGACCAGTTTCTGGCTTGTTGAGTGCCGATTGGTTGGTTAGTTGCTTAATTGAAAATGAATAACTAAGAAATTGTTAAGATAAGATAAGATAAGATATTCCTTTAAATGTCCCACAATGGGGAAATTCCAAAAAATGTTAAAGCCATATAATTAAACTGTAATTTAATTAAATCAACAAATGGCAGTAGTGTAAATCTAAAGTACATTTACAGCACGTAAGCTAACATACCAGCATTTCATTACCTATCTGTGCAGAGGAGCGTCCTGAAATCATCCAGTTTCCAGGGTGATGAGGATGGAGGTGGGTGGGCAACGGCACCCAGGGTGACTTTCTGAGTTTTGCAATTCAGCAGCTGCCGTTCTGCAGCCAGGTGTTGCTTACAAAGAAGACACAGAGATAACCCAGGTACTGAGTGGCTCTCTGTGTGCTGTTGTGTGCATCTTAGTGTAGGTTATAGGTCTGTATTATGTTATTCTGACCTTGAAGTGGCTCATGCAAAGTTAGCATGTAGTGCTTGAATGATCATGTTCTCACATTAATGCTCTTTTATGCTTATTAACATGTATTTCTCTGGAAGCTGCAGTATAACACCAATGTAATAGTGGCTGACTGGAAGGGTATTGAGTGCTTTGATTGCACATTAGATGAGGGAAGGAAAAGGCACAACTCATTCACTTTCTCTGCTGATTCTTTTGCACATGATGTGAAGATTCTTTAAATCTTCCAGTCTTGTGGCTTTTATTTGGTTTCTGCGGCATATTAATGTGCTTTATTCCATTTCCTAATGGACAGAAGGTCATTACTAATGCTTTCGGAGGAAAAGAGAAAGAAAAATGCACAAATATAAGTCCTATTTTATTGAAACAGTAATTTGCTGGAGAAACGAGAAAATGCTAATGCGCAATGTTATTGTGTGCTTGTGTGTGTGCATTTATGTCTGTCTGTCTTTCTCTGTCACGCACACACAGGCAAACACACAGATGAGGAGGAGGTAGAGGTGTGGGAGGTACAGATGGATGATGGCATTCAGACAGTTTATAGAGGGGCAGTAACGAAGTGCACAGTTTCAGAAAAGTTTGGAGTGCGAGGAGGAGGAAGAGTATTTTCACCAGCCACTCCTGTGTCTAGTTATGAGGGTACATGACATAGGGTGGCAATTTGTCTGCCAATAGAAGCTACAATACAACAAACAACAATATTACAGTGAGAGAGACATAAAAAACACCATAAAAGATTTGTTATCCTGCATAAAATTAACAAAATGAGGCTGGGATACACAGCTACAATTATTATAAGTCACTAAGGATTGAGTCATTAACGAGGACAGAGGGGAAACTGTAGGAATTGTAATGATTATTTTAGTCATTCAGACATGAAAACAGCAAATGACCAAAGGGAGGCAGCGAGAAACACTCACAGCAAGGGGACGGACAGACAGACAGACAGA